TTTAGAAAATATACAGTTTTGTTGTAGGTACCGAATATGGTTGATCCAACTATTCTCTGCTTTAACAAAAAATATGAATAATTAATTTTTTTTTGCTTTAACAAAAAACAAAGATTGTTAATTTTTGGGGGACAATATGCATTTTTGTTTTACTGAATATGTCATAATATTGTTGCGCCCATGCTGGACACTCGGTAGAGGAGTCGCGGAAAGCTGTGAAGCGCGCTCCGGAACTCGCGAAAGGAAAGGGAACACAGAACACAGGGATACTTGGAGAAATGCGTTTATTCAGAACTCGTAACGGAACGCGTCCGGATTCCAAAAATCCGTCAGACAGAAAATCAATAAACAATTTAAACTCTCGTTGTCAAGGAGCGCGCTTTGGAGCTTTCCGCGATTCCTCTACCGAGTGTCGAGCACGGGCGCAACAATATATTGAATTAAATGGTTAAAAAGGATTATAAATAAAAATTGAAATAGAATTATTATGTTTTTTTTTTTAAACAGAAAATAATTGGCATATTGAAAAGTCTATATAGATACAAAGTATAATAAATGACAGACATCTTAACCACGCAACTGTCAACTTTAGTATTTAATAACTTTTTTCCTAATTGAGAGCGACAATTTTAACTTATAGATTCATATTTTACGCACCAAAATACACAAAATTGTGAAGTTTTAGCCAAATCGGTGAGGAAGCCCCTCTCCTTTATAATTACTATAAAATTATACGTATTATTTATTGTAAAAAAAATCAGTTTTAATTTCTCATGTGTAATTCCTACAAAAAATGTTTTATTTTAAAGAATGGTATTAGTTTCTCTAAAAAATATTCAATTTCTTGGGGTCATATATATATATAATTGTTATATAAAACATAGGCTTACAGATACTTTATTAAAAAGTTATAACAAAAATGAAATAATAACGGACTTATTATTTTTATTACGGTTGTACTATATTCACCGTGTGAGCAATATAGATAAAAATTGTGTAAACAGATAAAGGTCGTTCTTATGTTTACCGACAACGTTGAAGGTAATCATTAGGGCCTGGACATTCGGATATGGAGCACAGGGACCGTATTCTCGAGCCTGCCCTAAATGATTTTCGTATGCGACTTTCTATTTGAAAAGCATTGAATTTTGCGTGCGAGTTTCATGAAAACGATTCGAGAATAAGGCTCCAGATCGAGAACCGTTGCGTATTGCTATTGATATCTATCTAGTATTGATATCTATCAGTGAGTTGTACAACTTTGTGTCAAAATGTCACGATTCTTTTCGTATGAAGAATACGCAGATATGATTTACAACAATAGTAAATACAATAGATCGTCATTACACAGTAATAATCATTAGTAATGATAAAAATTTCATTTTTATAACTTTTTAATAAAGCATTTGTTAACCTATGTTTATATAACATTTTTTTCTTATTTCTACTTGTAAAACATACTAGCACAGTTTGGTGGAAAAAACCTGAACCATCCTGTATATATATATGTGGTCTGTTTAAAAAGTAATGAGACTGAATTTTTTTCACAACAACTGGTAACACTGTAAAAAGCAGACTGCAGTAGATCGAGAGCTACATTTATACTCTAACTTCAGTTAAAATTTTAATTTGATAACATTAAGGATGTATGGGTGACATCTCAAAGCATTACCAAAAATCTAAAAATTTAATAGATTGTTCTATTATTACGTCTAAGTATCTGTGTAAAATTTCAGCACAATTCTCTTACTGGTTTAAAAGTTATTTAATTTTTTTGTTTGCATTAATTTTTATCATATCTCGGGATTGGCTTCACCAATCTTATTCGGACTAGTCGCAATCGAAAACTTGTATCGACATTATATTTAAAAAATGTCGTTAGATTTTTTATTACGGCTTTAGTTTCTGAGATATTTTAATTAAAAGTTTGTTGACGTATGAAATTTCTTCTTATTCTTATAATTTGATGAGGAAGTAGCATTACAAATTAAATCAAATTTTGTACATATGCTAATAAAACTATGATAAATATTCGTACAAAAGTTCATTTGGATCCACTTACTCGTTTAAAAGTTATTTACCTAAAACTGTAGCAAAATGTGGTCAGTACGCTGCATAAAACCCATTTTAGTCTATGAGACTTGGCAACATTGCAGTGAGGCAGTACAGATCGATGTATTGAAAGTGTAAACACTTCGAGTCAATATCGAAATTTTATCGAAATTTTTTACGATATTCAACATTTTTCGGCATTTTGATTCCGCGTTTGAAAGGTGACAGGCAGTAATGCCAACGTAGAAAATAGTGCAATGTTGTCATATTTAAAGCTGGCATTAAATGGTATATTTTAGGTTTACATTTTGTTTTAAAATTATTAATTAAATATATAACTTATTACTTTTATATTAAATATATATTTAAATTATTCGATACCTAGTAACCGAAAATCATCTTATAAATGATTCGTTTTTTCGTTTTTTGCAGTTGATTTCAGGGCATTTTCAAGACCAAAAGTTTCTGTCGTTGATTACGAAAAATATTAATTATAAATATTCCATTTCTTGAAGACGTTAAAAATCATGTTATTTTACGATAGTTGAACTTCTTATGCAATATAAATTTATTTATTTTATATTTCAAACGATATAAACCTAAGAAATCTGCAGTTTTCAAATTTTAATCACTTTTTGCTGGTATTGTACAACCCAAACATCCTTAACATATGTGATTCTACAATCATTTATAACAGTATGTTTGGGTGATGCGTCACGAAAATGGAACATAAGAAAATCGAGCAGTGTTGTACGAAGTTTGACATAGCAAATTCTGTGTCAAATTTCAGGATACCGTGACAGAAACATTTAAAAAGTTGACAGTGAGAATAATTGATGATCAAAATTAAATTAAATTTTAATTACCAAATTGTTTATGTCATTGGTGGTCCAGAACGGGATTCATCTTCACAATTTCACCGCCATCTAAAAATGCCTTGTACCCAGGATAGAACTTGATCTTTGTGTCTGTTTCAACTTCTTAAATGTTTCCATCGCATTGTCCTGGAGTTTGACACAGAATATAGTCACATAATGCTGCTCGATTTTCTTGTGTTCCATTTTCATGACGCGTCATTCAAACATAAAGTTATACAAATGATTGCAGAATCACATGTGTTAAGGCTCCTGGGTAGTCACGGTGGCGCCGTACCGTCGCGGCAGGAATAAGAACTCTCTCCTCTCACTCTCTCCAATGGAGAATTCTGTCTTGTAACATGTTGACAACCTATTTTGCGTTGCGTTAAATTTCTTTATTATTCGCTCTGTACTTATGCTATAACGTTTAACGTATTCGTGAAACTCGTAAAATTGACCGTATGGTAAGATTTGCAAGAAATACATATGCGGAAGGAACATTTTCCACTCCTTTCGATAGTCGAAAACGGCTTGTTTTTCCGTATGTTTAGGCTTCGTTTTATGGCTGTTTGTTTATTGTCGAGGGAAAAGGATAGTATCCGGTCAATTTTAGAAGTGTGCTGAAACGATCTATAGTGATTTTTTTATTGAAATGTCTTTTTATTTCGGAAAATACCGCAACATAAAATAGGGTAATTTCTCGCCTTGATAGCAAGAAATTCAATATGGCTGCGGTAACTACCCAGGAGCTTTAATGTTATCAAGTTAAAATTTTAACTGAAGGCAGAGTATGAATATAGCTTTCGATCTACTGCAGTCTTGTTTTTACAGTGTTACTAGTTGTTGAAAAAAAAATCAGTTTTATTAATTTTTAAACAGACCACGTGTATATATATATATATATATATATAGGGTGTCCCATTTTAAAAAACGCACCTTTTGATAATTCTTCAACAAAGCATTTTCAGCAAAAATGTTTCATACATATATAACAAAGGATCAGTAAAATATAGAAATTATATGTACCTTTCTCCAAGATTTAAATAAATATAAATATTCAAGAATCTATTCTTCTACCATTTGCATAAATATTTAATATAAAATATCTTAATGATTAAGTTACAAACGTAAATTATTTGATCTGATATGCATAATAATCCTATTATAAATATATTCTATTTTTTATTATAAATATATTTATATAACATTTGATATACATTTATATAGACTATAATATTTAGTAAATATTGTATTTATAATATTTATCTATTTATTGAATACTTACCAAAATTGATATATATCATTTAGGTCAAAATATTGAGTAAATTATATAAATAAATATGTATCTATATAGATGATATTACTTATTATGACCCAGATAGCAAAGCGTGTCTGAGCAAAATCGCGCAAACCTGTGATTGCTTATGATGCTGGCAACTTGCTGTATATTTGCTTTAATTAATTTCGAGTAATTTAATATTTGAAGCAACACGCAGGCAACATTAAATATATGTATTGCCAGCAATTTGTCGGCAAGAGAACAGCATCAAATTTACTTCGCGTTGCTAGCAATATGACAGCATTGTGTGATCCTATGAATTATTACAGCAACATGACAGCTAACTCGAATTTTTAATCAGACGATTTTAGATCGCAGTATAAGTTGCCAACAAATTGCTGGCAAGTTGCTATACAAAATTGTTATATCGTGAAGGCATCAACTTGCTGACAAATGCAGACTCAGTTGCCACAAATTCTGGTAGCAACACATATACTATCTTATCGGCAACATGTTAGCAACAATGCAGACACGTCCTAGATAGCCAAGCGTGATATAGCATATTGAGCAAACTAATGTATTGCATGTGTTGTTATATATTTGCTGTAAATTTGCTGACATCAAAATAGAACACGTTACAAATACAGCTACGTGACTGCTTATACATGCAATCAGTCGACGCAATTTCGAGACCAAACGGTCTACAATACTGGTACGTTATGTTGTCTGCAACATGACAGCAATGAATGGCTGCGTTCAGCCGATACTCCGCTAGCCTAGCAATCGTGAGCAGTCGCTCGTTTCCTCTCCTTTTAATCCATTGGGTCAAAGAAGAGGAAACGAGCGAAAACGAGCGACTGCTCACGATTGCTAGGCTAGCGAAGTATTGGCTGAACGCACTCAATGATTCATTGTTCCATCTTGAGCATCATAGCGCAAACATGATGGCAACAACCATAGACCTAGGATAAGATAGACGGAGCGTAAGCCTGCGGGGTAGGTGATAGCGCGGGAGGGGAAATAGACCCAAATTTCGGCAAAGTTCGGAAACATTCGGACGCTCGACCGACTCGACAGCACACGGATGTGCCTTCGCGCTTTGGTGTGCGTTGGCAGCATGTGGAGGAGATGCGCTGGCATGCGCTGTTTGTTCGATTACACATTTGACACATTTCTCCGGACGGTGAATACCATAACCTAGAATACAGAAGCGTATCATGGAAATGAAGTGCTTAATTGGCATTTAGTGTACAGATTTCGTATTAATTGCGACGGATATGAAAACTACACAATCTACTATAGTTATGAAAAGCGGTAAGATGTTTATCTGCACGTTTTACATTACCACGAAACCCTCATCATTGGAGTTGCCGTCGTAACAATTAAATAATAATCACAATGATTCTGACAAATTATGCAGATATAGAATTATTTATTATGCAAATTATTACGAATTATTATATTATTTTTTAACAAACGTTTCTTGAATGAACAGATGAACATAAAATCCACAAGATCTCTGACAAACTTGTCTTGGCAATATTCAGAGAATCAGGCAATACAATACAGTTTTCAGAATACATTGGGAAGAATATTCAGCTGTACAAGATGCAAAATGACTACGAATTGTCCCCCAAAGCTGCGGCTTGTTTCACAAGAAGAAATCTTACAGCCGATTATCTTAGAAACAGTACTCCATACCTTGTCAATATGCTACTGACCATATATGATAACAATTCAGGACCAGAATTATACATTATATCGGTTACTTACCCAGGTAGCAAGCACTCGTCATTTTGACGTCAATTGACGTCAAGAGACGTCAAAATGACAGACTTTTGACGTCAATTGACGTCAAAATGACGAGTGCTTGCTACCTGGGTATCGTCCAGCGTGAAAGTTCCTTACGCGACTCACGGATATGGCGGGATGTTCTCCACATCTGTTTTAGACAGATATCACAAATATGGTGAGGCATTGACAAGACATGGCAGCGAACAAATTAATAGAATACAGCTGAAAGATATTAAATAGAAACGTTTCTTGTAGATTGTATCGAAGAAGAGGCATATGCATTATTGAAGAAATGCGTTCGAGACATTCAGAAGCGATTAATCGTTAATTTGCCAAATTTCAAAGTTTAAAAGATATCTAAGCATGGGATTAAAGATAAGCAGCCAATTACAGCTAAGAACTTTGTTGTGGAAAGTGTTGCTAAAGAATAAAAGAAACATTCACTTTATATCTTTTCGTAGGAAAAATATTTCCATCATAGGAATAAATGATCTAATTGTAATTTGATAATAAAAATATCAGTGATTATAATTGCATGGTTGTAATTACGGTAAATATGCAGAATTTGGATATTTATTTTTTATTTGCAGAATTTGATGTTCGCGATCGTCATATGCGACAACTTCAATTCACGCGCGCGTAACGTGGTCCGAACGTCCCCGAGGTCTAACCGAACTTTGCTGAGACTTGGGTCTATTTCCCTTCCCGCGCTATCCTTACCCCCCTTGTCCATAGTAGCACATTACGCTCCGTCTATCTTATCCTAGGCCTATGGCAACAATAACACACGCACGCACACGCGCGCGCACACACACACACACACACACACACACATATGATTTCCATCCGTTATTGCGTATATATATGTCTTCAAGCGCTATGAAGTTTTTTAATTGTAGGTCGTTCCTAACAAAGTGTTGACAATATGAAATTGTCACACGTTTGTAAAGATTGTGCAAATAATTTCAGATTCGATAGATAGCATCCGATGGGTTCTGTTTCTCGTATTTAAAATATGACGAACGATAGTATATGAACGATATATAAATGACGGAACTGCACAACTAATATCAGTTGTATCATGGAGTCCACTTTTATAATAAAGTATGGCACACTTTTAGATTGATGTAACCTTATATTAGTTAATGGTACTTTTATTTTTGAAGACTGATAATAATTAAATAAACACAATACATAAAATGTATATATTATATAACAAATCTTTTGTATATAAATTTAATTTTTACAATCCTCTTATTAAAACGTCATTAAAAAGCTAAAAAGGTCATAAAGATCACGTTTTTTAACGTTTTGAAATGTCGTCATCGGTCTGGGACTTATTCCTGTCATTTTTACGTTATTATTACATAATTATAAAAGGATAATTGACGTAACGATTGATCATAAACTGACGTAAAAATCACGTGACGTTGTTGCCTGGGAAGTTGCCCTCAAATTGCAATCAATATGCCGTTAATCGTGGATGACAACGAGTTGTCGTCAAGTTGCTGTCACAAATCATCTCTTCACAAATAACAAATCCGTGTGAACATGTTGCTCTCAATTTGCCGTGAAGAGAATTAGAATTCGTGTGTTCAACCCGACAGACATAATGCTGTCTCACCTTGTCCCTAGTTTGTCAAAATAGTTGCATCAACGATTGTTGCCAACATGACAGTAAACTCACAGCATTTGGCTATCTGGGGTTGCTATCTGGGGATTACCTATAAATATTTTTATATAAATTTTTATTTAATATCTAATTCTTTTTTGGTTCAGGAATTACATTCAAATCATGAAAATGGCGCATTTTGTCCACTGGACGAAACACATAATCTGGAGAATAACACAAGAAATAGACAAAACACAATCAAATATTATCAAGACAATGTTCCAATAATGGTAATTGAAGGAAACAAGCAAAATGATTTTTGGAAAAGAAAAGATATATCACCAATTAGGCGTTTCGGTTTATTTGTGTCGATATTATTATGCATTATTACAATAGTTATTTTTTTGTATGTATTACCTTGTGACAGTTCAATGGTTTGTTCGTCAATTATTGAATCACATTCGCCTATATCATGGGATAAAACTTTGCAAGATGTAGGTGAGTTCATTATTGTAAGCTATATTTTATTGCTATTTTTTATCTTTATTCCTTAATAGAATAAATAAATGTAAAGATAAATAGATTATTTATTCTATGATATGTGCATTAACAATTAATAATTATTTGACTAAATATTAAAGCTACTTTTTATACTTTAATAATGTAATTTTATTATATTAACTTTTATAATTTTTTTATTAAATACAGAAATATATGGGCCTATTACTGTAGTACCTGGATCTCCGTATAATTTAATATTTCTTCTTCATGGTGAACAATATAGAAAAAATGATATAAGAGATAAAATCATTCATCAAAGACAGATACCTCCAGAAGGAGGAGGTGTTATATCAATGCAAGGAAATAATGGATTACCATTATGGCTGGTTCCATTAAAACGATTACCTACTATTATAGATTGTACTAGTATTGATATTGATCAATCTGGAAAACCGGATTGCATTGTCGCTGGTGAACAAGGTCTACTCATTAGCATAGAACCAATTGCTGGAACAATTCATTGGAGTTCCACGATTAACACATTCTCTAAATTACCAGTTATTATACCAGATATTGATGCGGATAATATTGAAGATTTATTAAGTGTAGCAATAGACAATGCAAATGTATCATCCTTGGTTTTTTTATCTGGCAAAACTGGTCAATTATTGGAACGTTATTCAATTAATAATTGCATTTCTATTGATATATATAATCTTGTTTCTAATGGCAATATATCCTATAATTGTTATGATAACAATGCAAAACGTATGTTATTTAAATACTTTCCTATATTTCAGTTTGTAAAATTTTCATTTATATTATTAAAAAGTGCTTACTTGTTGCAGATGTGACAAGATTCATATCTTTGAAAGGATTATTTCATAAGTTAAATATAACACAAATACATAAGAAATTTTCCTCAAAATCAGCAGCATTGCCACGATTATTTGAAATAATAAAATCATATGACGATGAATATAGTTGGAGGCCTACTCCTTATCACCATCTGACTGTAGAAAATGAAGGAGTATGTCCAGGACAATTTTGCCGTACCAATATAAATCTAACTTTACAGAGATTAACAAACAAACCAATAACTATATGGGATTATGTGAGTTCGAATACATTTGCGTCAAAGCCAGTATTTTTGGTGACCTCAAGTAAACCTTACACTTCTGGATTTGCCATTAAGTTCTGGCAGTGGATGGATTTGCCGTTGGAGTACACAGAGAAAGCACCTGTTATGGAACAAATGCTTATAGAAAGAGTTCTTATAGTTTTTGCAAATTATACATATGTTCAAGCTCTTAATACTAGTCAATGCGATATAATGCAATTGTGTCATAAACTTAACTGTCAACCAAATTTAAATTTACGAAAACAATTTACTTCTATCAAAGTCAAGTACATCGATAACAATGAATTTCCAGAACTGATAAGTTATTGGTCTTCATACAGTACAGACTCAATGAAAGCATTAATATCGAAAATACAAGTTATAAAAATGGATTCCATAATATCTGATTTAATACACGGAAGTGTTTAGTTTTATTGTAACATTTTCATATTTTATATTGAACATATGATTATACTTGCATTCTGTTACTTAATGATAGTTTGGTCTGCGATTGTAAATTATTGATAAGATAAAATGTGTTTTTAAAAACGGATTATCAAAAACTATTAATCAATTTATTCAAAACATAAATTTTACTAATTTTTTCCTAATTTTTTAATATTATATTGATACACTTTTTTCATTAATTTTTCATTACGTAAATAGTTTCTAAAATTATATATTTCTTAACTGAAATCAAATTGTGAAAAACGCCAATTATTCTCATATTTTATTATTCATTAACTGTTTTCTTCTCTGTATTTTTTAATTGTACTTAGAATAGTGCCTTGAATCAAACTATATATAATTATTATCTATATATTTATCACATATAAAATGCAAGAAAGTTTTGCGTTTTAAACAAATATGTTCTTCGGAAAATTTAAGAACGTTTTATTTTAAAAAATATCAATTTTAATAGGCTCTTACAGCAATGATATCATTTTACAAAGTTTAAATCAAGCATAAACATCAGTTACATAAATAATTGATCAAATAAATATTTCCTATATGTATTACATAGTATTATGACTTAAATTGTTAATTTTAAATTTTTTATTGATCTGTAATCTAGTCATTGATATTATCTTAATTCTCTGTACTTTGAATTCAGTATCATTAACTAAGTTATTAACTAATTATCTAATAATTTCAAAAAGAAGTGACTGAATTTATGACAAAGCTGTTACAAACTGAAACAGTTATATTTAAAACAATTATGTACATGTGATATTTTAATAACTGTATCAAATGTATTATATTAGTAAAATATAATTATCAATTTTTAGTATGGTTAAAGCTTCTATTTCTTGACTGCAACTATATGTATGATATTTATTGCATTTCCCCGTAGGATTTACAAGGCGTTTTTATGAGAAACGTACCCAAACCTCTTACAGCGATTCTTTCCCCTATGCCTGGCCATTTGTGACCTCACAAACATTTACCCTCTCTCCCCGTAATCCTCTTCACCCCTCTTTTTCTTCCTCCGTTTCTGCCGTGACTCCGTCCTTCCCGTCTCCGCTCTTCCCTATTTGGCCCACTCTCTCTTCTTGGCCTTCTCCTCATCATCGGAACTCATAAGGAGCTTCTCCTCCATCCTACTTGAGATTTCTTCTTCCTCCGATCTCCCTGTACTCCTGTGCACCTCTCTTCTCCCTTCCGCTCTCTCTTCTTTCTCCTCTCTTTCTCTATCTCTCCTTTCCACCGACTTGTCTTCATGTATCTTTATCCCTATACTGTTCCCTGCCCTTCTTCTCGCCACCAACACCCGCCACTTCTCCTCCTCATCTCTCAGTTTCACCAGTATTGTCAGCCAAACTTCTCTCTGCCCCACAACTATCACCTCTCTTACCATCACTTTCACCCTCAACCCTTCCGTGAAGAGCTCCTTCACTTTCTCCCAATTTGACTCCTTACCTCCTCATTTCTCTTTCTCGACCCTTATAACCACGTTCCTCTTTCTTAATTCGTCCTCGTTCCTTTCGCCCTCCCCTGCCCACCATTTCTTCTTTCCCGCCCCACTCTCCACGCTATCCTCTCTCTTTCTTTTGCCTCCATCTTGCTCCAATCTTTCTACCTTTCTCTCCAATCTCCTTATTTTCTCCTTCAGCTCCTCTATCCTCTTGTCCTTTTTTCTATCGTTCTTCTTTTTCTTCTTCAACATCTTTCTTACTTTGTTCTCCACAATTCTTTCGACTGCCTCTGCTATTGATCTCCTCTCGCGCTCCATCCTGGATAATCTGTAACATGCACTTTAATTACTCACTTCTCCTTTTCTCTACTTTCCACTCCCTCCCCTCTCTCTCTTACTCTTCTCCCCACTCTCTCCTTCCCTCTTCACCTCCTCCTTCTTCTAACTCCTCCGACTCCCCTTTTCCTCCCATTCTTTCCCCCTCTAGTTCTATTATCCATTCCTCTCCTTCTCCTTCCTCATCCAATACCCATATTCCACCGCTTCCTGCCAACTTCCATTTCCTGATTCCCATCTCCTACATTCCTCCCATACATGCTCCCACGATTCCTCCCTATGTTCACATAACCTACATTTCTTTTTCTCTTCCACTTCCCAGTAACTGCTTTCTCTCATCTCATTCTCTAATCTAAATCTCGCCACCCTTCTCCATCTGCTCTCTCCCCATCCCTTCTTCAGATATCCCGGGATACCCTCTTCTTTTATTAGGTTAGGTTAGGTAAAAGGGTGTGGTCATCTATGGTGACCGTTCACTCGGAGACCTGAGGTCCATTGTGATACCCTACTATTAACCCTTAACCCTTCTTTACCACCTCGCTCCGAAAACATTTCCAGTTCCGTGCGAAGTTCATTATTTTATTAATCTCCATCTCTGCTGCGTCTTCCAATCCATCCAGAAATTCCTGTCCCATTATCTGGAAACGTCGGTTTACTATGGCTGGGCACCGACACAGCAGATGTTCAATTGTTTCTTCTTCCTCGTTGCATTCTCTGCAGTAGTTGTCATTTGTGATTTTCCATTTCTGGAGGTTCACTCCGACCGCACAGTTTCCTGTGATAACTCCCGCCGCTATGCGAACCAGGTTTTTCTTGTGTTTCAGTAATTGCCCAGTCCTACTGTTGTCTATCTTGGGCCATAGATTTCGGGCTATACCGCAATCGTTCCGGTTTTGCCAAATTTCTTTTTGTTTCTCCAATGTGATTTTCTCTATGGCATCCTTCAATGAACTGATCGGTGGTAGTGGGGAGTCTATAACCTCCGCACCGCTTTCCCTCGCCCCCAGCTTTGCCAGTCCGTCCGCGCCTGTATTCCCTACCACATTTCTGTGGCCGGGGACCCAGCGCAGACCGACCCCGTCGCCGCGGATCCAGGACAGTGCTTCTTGGCAACTCATCACTACCTTTGATCTCACCGATTTTGATGCAATACTTTTAAGCGCAGCCTGACTGTCAGAGTAAATTATGACATTTCCTAATGGTTTGCCGCTCGCCCTGATTAGCCTAACTGCCTCCCCTATTGCACAGATTTCTGCCTGTATGGCGCGGCAGCCATTCTTTAGTCTGTATGACTTTTGGATATTGAGCGCCTCAGAGTAGATTCCAATGCCTGTGCCCGTTTTGGTTACGGAGGCATCAGTATAGACTGATGTCTCATGTTTATTTATCACTGAGTTATCATCCCAGTCCTCCCTGGAGGGGATGTGTATGTTAACACACCCTTCAAAGTTGTACATACCTGACAACTAAGTAGTCCGTTGGATTATTCAATAAGTTTGGTCTTTTGTTACCACTCAGCTTTCTGATCACGTCCAGTATTCTTGAATGTCCATAGTTAGTCGGCTTCCAGAGATTTGACTCCCTAAGCCTTATGACTCCTTTTGCTGCCTGGCCTTTAACGTACAAATCGAGTGATTGTAGGTTCAGAATTGCCTCGAATGCAGCTTGTGCTGTGTTATTCCTCACTCCTGTGATACCCAGGACTGCAAGCCTTTGCACCTTGGTGAGGCTCTTTATTTACCTCTTTATTCATGGCTTCCTACCAGATTAAAGCTCCATATGTAATGATCGGTCTTATTACCGCAGTGTACATCCAGTGTATGATGTGCGGCATCAGACCCCATTTTTTCCCAAACATTTTCTTAAATGCATAGTAAGCAATTATTCCTTTCCTCCACGTTTCTTTTTCATGAGAGTTTGGAGTCTAGGATGATTCCGAGGTATTTAGTTTCCTTTGAAAGTGTGCCCTTCCCTCCAATTTTGGGGGTGTGAATTTGGGTATTTTATACTTTCTCGTGAACAGAATGAGCTCGGCCTTACTTGGGTTTACCCCTAGGCCGTTCTCTCTTGCCCACTTTGATAGTTCTTTTAGCGCAGACTCTATGATCTCACTGATTGTAGACAAGTATTTGCCTGTGATCAGTATGACTACATCAGCTGCATATGCTATCATTTTGATCCCTTTCTCCTTAAAGGTTGTTAGGATCTTGTTTATCACAATCAACCACAGTAGCGGTAATATCACTCCTCCTTGCGGTGTGCCTCTTGTTGCCTTCTTACTAGTAGAGCTGTTTCCTATTTCAGAGGTAATAACTCTGCTTTCCAGCATCCTTATCACCCACTCTGTGACCATATGCTCTACCCCCAATGTTTCTAAGGCCTCTTTTATAGATTCAGTTTTGACATTATTGAAAGCTCCCTCTATGTCCAGGAATGCAGCCAAGGTGTATTCCTTGTCCCTGAGGGATTTTTCAATTGTTCCGACAACCACGTGTAGTGCACTTTCAACTGATTTACCTCTGAGATAAGCATGTTGCATTTCGCACAGATCTTCTATATTTGTAGTCTCTTTTATATGCATGTCTATCAGTCTCTCTAGTGTCTTCAACAGAAACGACGATAAACTAATAGGCCTAAAATCTTTTGGGGTAGTGTGACTCGGTTTGCCAGCCTTGGCTATAAACGCCACTCTTACCTCTCTCCATCTTTTTGGTATGTAGCCTAATTCAAGACATTCCACGAAGATTCTCTTTAGCATCCCAATGATGCTGCTCAGAGATTTTTGTAACATGATAGGCAGTATCCCATCCAAACCCGCAGACTTGTACGGGCCAAAAGAATGCACCGCCCATAGTATTCTTTCCTCTGTGATGATCTTTTCCACCCTCATTTTTCTCTCTGCGGGGGTCATCAATTCCCCCTGTTTGCGGGAACTATCCTTTCTTACGTCTTTGTAATTGATGTTCCCACATTCAGGGAAATGGGTGCTCATAAGAAGATCCAGGGTCTCGCTGTTGGATTCAGTCCACGAGCCATCCGGCTTCATAATGTTACTTGGGATCACTGGATCCTTCGATAACACTCTTCTGAGCCTTGCAGCTGTGTTAGTATCCACAAAGGATTCACTAAACTCCACTTAATTCACTAACTAAAATCTCTATTCCCTCGATTGATGGGTACTCTGACATTTGGACCCTTGGTCCCCCATCCACATACTCCTCCACGAGTTTACTAAACATTTCCCAATTCGTTCTTTTGGGATTCCTAAAAGGCTTCCTAATTGGGACCGCGCGGTTTATACTAAACAGGATTCTCCTATGATCTGAGAAGGATCGTTTTAAGGAGACCCTCCAGTCCTCAACTATCAACCCCTCGTCGCCTGTGGTCAAGGTCAGATCTATCACCTCTTCTCTAACCTTGTTCACAAAAGTCGGTATATTGCCTCTATTGCAAATGGTCAGGTTATTTGTGAGAATAAAATCCATTATTGACTTACCTCTCTCATTTATGCCCTTGCTTCCCCATTGGATATGATGTCCGTTGGCATCGCATCCTATCACCAGTTGTCTGCCCTGCTTCCTGGCTTCAAGTACCAGGTTTTGGACGGCCTCCGGTGGTAATTCAGCTTCATCGTATGGCATGTATGCGGAAGCCAAAAGAAGCTTTGTGTTCCCCTGGCTCTCGCAGGTTGCCACGGTCAGGTCATTTGTGCTATATTGTGTTAGTAGTGTAAGTTTTAGGGATCTTTTTGCCACTATACACGTTCTTTTCTTACCTGCAGTTTGAGAATGTAACAGGATATACTCTTTAGTCCTCAGTCCTCGAACCCTGTCCTTTGCAAGCCAAGGCTCTTGGACCAGAGCTACGTCCACATTCTCTTCAGTCATGAGCAGCATCAAATCCTCCGTGGCCGCCTCGCAGTGATTCAGATTAATCTGAACGACCCGAAGTCCTAGCCGTCTCGCTGCTCTTGTCATTTGGAAGCCTCGCTTTCAGCACACCCAAGCCGAATTTGATGCTTTCTTTTGATTTCCTGAGAGACTCCAAGGACTCGCCATCGATCATAAAGACGAAGTCTTTTTCTTTGCCATTTTAGCTCTTAGCCGATGAGATGATCCTCCAGCTTTGGGTCTTCAGGCCTCTGTTTTGCTTTCCCAAAATCTTCACCACGGTGTCGTCCCCCTCCAGAACCGGAGGTGGGATCCACAGTGAGATTTTCTTTTTCAGTTGCGACATCTGAATGACCTCGAGTTGGGCCCCCTGCCAGAGTTCGCCGCAGCCGTCGATGACTTGCGTTAGAAAGTCGCGTGACTTTCTGTTGCTGCATCCAACGACATTGACTCCCTTCTGCCAGCCAGCCCCGTCGAAGTCAACCTCCTCGCAACCGTCGCTATCCAGCTCGGCTATGGCCAGCAGGATCTTTGACTCCACCTCCATCCACCTTTCGGCCGTCATCCTGCCATCCGGATCAGAACGATCTATGATGGCAATCCGACATTTCTCGGGCGAATCAAAGCTTATCGAGGGTTTGACCCTTTTCGCTTCGCTTTCCTCTCCGTTGCCCGATCGCACTCTTTTTACCGTTTTCCTTTCGGAAGGTGGCAAATTGGGTTTGTCCGGCTCTGAAGATTCCACCGTAGCGTTGGACCTCTGTAGTCTTTTTGCCGGTTTAGTTCTTGCTACCTTATGTTCTTCGGTGATCGTCTCCAATTTTTGTTGCTGATGTTCGGCTTCAAATTTGGAGACCTTCTTCTTATTCACTTTGATGAGCTCCCTGTCCCTGGCGATCAGTTCTTTATCCTTCTTGCTGCTCATCTTTTTCAGAAATGACAGGGCATTTTTGTAGGCTTCCTAGCCTTTTGAGCTGCCGTCATTTCTTTCTTCTTGGATTTTGCTTCCTCCTAACAAGCTGTGTCGGCCTCTGAGTCGAGAAGATCCCTCTCAGCGTCGGAGTCCATGTAGTCAACACTGCCACCTTTAAGCGATTGCTCGTCATCTGTCGCCTTGTCGATCTGTACTTTCTCCAGCCGAGATAAGATACTCCCCGGACCTCCCCCGCCTGCCGGAGTATCAATCTCCATTGTCTCACTTGACGCTTGTGGAGTGGTTCCGACAGCCAAGTGTCCCACTGTCGGGTCCTCTGAATCGAGCAATATTGAGCCCCTCCCCCTCCTCAGAATCCGATCAGAGCTCAGCCACTTCTGAGGAAGTGGGAGGATTCCCCATTTTTGGGTTACCTCCTGGGGTAAATCTATTTATACTGCTCTCTTCCATTGTGGTTTTGGGTTTGGATTCCCTTGTCCGCGATCGCTTATTCCGCCCAGAGACAGAGTCTCCGATTGTTATTCACGACTATCCAGAGGGATACTCTCCCTGGACGTTCCACTATCCGCAACCTGTGGACGCGCCCGGTAGCATGGGAAAACTGCTCTTCACTTTTAAAAATGTCCCGAGCTCTTTTTATTAACTTGTAGCATTTATTATCTGATTTCTCGATCTTCTCCCATCTCTCTTTCCTTTGCGTCTCCTTATCTCCTCCAAACAGCTTAAGAAACCATTTATCTCCACTATCTCCTCTCAGCCTTTGCAACTTTTTTAGCTCTACTCCTCTGTCTTCGAAGAACTTTTCTCTCTCTCTTTCTCAGCTTGAGCCTGCTTTCCCTTCCTTCTTCCTTCCCTTCAGCTCTTCCCAACATAACCTCGCCAGTTCATTTCCTCTACCCTCCTCTAACTTTTTCTTAAATCTCCATGCCCCCATCCCTGCTCTCCCTCTTAACTTCCCCCTTTGCAACTCTTCCCTAACAAGATACCACGGTGTTCTCCCGTCTACTCCCAAGATCCATCTGATATACCTTTCTTCCATCCTTTCCATTCCCTCCCTTTCTCTCCATCCCCATATTTCCGCTCCATATCCCTACTGCAACTATATTAAATATTAATTTAATTTAAAGTTAGGAAACTTGTGAATCTTTTTCTTGCATTCTGTACGAAATAAATTCCTTTTTCTATATGCCATGACATGGATTTTATTGATAAAACGTATTGTTTTTTCCGTATGTTAATTTACAGATTTTGATTATTTATATTAAAAAGCTCATTTTTATTGCAAAATAAATTACACAAATTATATTTTATATATTATATATTATATATTATATATTATATATATATTATATATTATATCGGTAATAATTTCGTCCGCCAGTGAATAAAATCAGTAAATTCAATTTATTTCTCGATTAACTGGCGCAATATGTACAAAGATGCACGACGTTTCGGCTCAAGATTCGAGCCCTTTTCAAGTGCGAACTGAAACAGGAACAGCGAGAAAAAACAAACAATATAAATGAATCGAGATAAATATTAAATTAACGACGTTAAATAGTGAGCAATATCTATATCATCATCTATTGACTCGTCACATAATTAATACAGATTCCTGAGTTCACGAGCATGTTCCCGCATGGCCCTAAAGGTCAGCTGTGGACCAATCTTAATTTGTAGCAACAATGATTTGAGGAGAGAAAGCGACGATCAAGAAAAACTTACGAATTCCGTGATAAATTTTCGCGTATGACAGATTCTTCGTTGCGACATGTTACATGTATACGAGTGCTTGGGAGACTGAGCGGACAAAGAAAGAAACAAGGTGTCCCGAGGTATAAATATAAACATTTAAACAGACATGATGACACTGTCGTATATCGAGTTTAAGTTCTCCGTATCTTTTTTTAAATTAATCGTGTTCTTATTTTTCTTTATAAAGAACATCTCAGCGATCTCTCTCATTTTCCAGTGAGGTTCTTTGTGTAATATTTTCAGATCTGACCACTTAAAATTATGGTCATTCTGTATCCGGTGTTTACTTACGACAGAGAAATTGCTGTCATGTTTTTTGATATCGCTGAAATGTTCCTTCACTCTTGTTTCAAGATGTCTCTTCGTCTGGCCAATGTAGGACGCGTCGCAATTCTCGCAATCAATTTTGTAAACTTTAGTCTCCTTGTTAGTCGCTAATCTGTCCTTGCCTCTCCTGATGACAGCACTGAGTTTTTTCGGTATCTTATATACTACGTCACAGCGGACTTTCTCAAGAGTACCCCGTATGCCCGCGCTTAAGCCCTTCACGTAAGGGATCACCACACATCTGCGTACGTCAAACGTGCTGTCGCGTTTGGAATTGTTAGCGCTCAAGTCCCTTCTATTTTCTAATTGTCGCAATCTATTCCCTGCTAAAAATGACCGATTGAATCCGATTAAAAATTTTGAATCCGCATGAATCTGGATTCTTGATCCGGAAATCACGGATTTATAACGATTACACCGACTGAAAACGATTGAAACGGATTGGTATTCAAGGATGTAATTTCAATCGGATTCTATCGATTTGAATTGTTATGATTTTATAACGATTACACTGATTGAAAACGA